CAATATCTATATAAGTAAATATGCCACTGTCGACTTATAATAGCGTTTAGGGATTTTCTAAGTCAAATTCATACAAAACACTAAGTCATACCCGTTTGTGCACGCGGCTTACGCAAAACGAAACTGGTAAACTGAGTCTAATCGCCGTTATTTTAGGTAAATTGAATCTCAACTAAAACAGGTATAAGTTGAATCGAGATCAACTAAAAGGCGAGTATATGCGAATAGTTAAGTCGTTAAATGTTCAGTCTATTTTTTTTATTAAGGAAAAACAGAAGTAGGATGAACAGACATCCGAGTTTTTCTTGTACTTCTTTTTATTGAAGCAGTGCCAGATAATGCTAATACATCCATATCACTAGTTTTTATTTCTGAACATAAAAACTTAGACGATGGATTGAAAATATCTTTTATTATTTTTCTTGGAAGAATGTTACTAAACTTTAGTCTTTGAAGTATTTTTTACAAGTTTTTAATGGTTATGACTTTTGAATAAACTAGCAGTAATAGAACCATAACCATTAATTTTTAAAAACCAATCACATGAATGGCCGCTACATGTCCAAATTTAAACCTTATATTTTAATTTTGTATTATAAAATCTAAATTTATTAAGTGAACTGTCTTATTTCTTTTTATTTTAGAATAGTTACAGTTTTTAAACATACAAATTAGATAATTATTAAATGTAATATTTTATTTAAAAATAAAATGTAAATAACCATCTTATAATAATTTTGCTAACACAAGAAGTACAGAATTCATTTTTTTGTGAAATTAAAAACAATTTTCTATAAATTTTTAAAAATTGAAACTTTAGTTTATATTATACATTATATCAGACAGTGATTTTCATAACCCAATATAATGTAATTATAAAATATATTGTAGTTCTTTCTTGTCAAATAGTAATTAGCCAAACGAAGATAATTAAATTTAAACATATTTTTGAGTAAAGTCATTTTTATTATACCGAAAAACCATTATGATGACTACCTATTTTGTGAATGCTCATAATCGTCTAATTTTGAATTCCCTATCCCCAGCTTTATCTAATAGCCCTAGTCTGTCATTGCTTCCATATACCCTAACATCCATGTAGGATTACCTACCGGTACGACTATTGACCTTTTGTTACAAGAGCGTGTCTTTAAAAGCTTTGTGCGCGACACGAATACCTCGACAACGCTTAATGCAATTCTGCTCACTAGGGGATTACAAGGTATTAAAAGAACGTGTCGCCCGGGCAGGATGTGCTAGAACGTTTTATTAAGCCTATCCTTTTCCTGGATCGTCGACACGTCGTCGTGATACTCTCGTCCTGTTGAAATCACGAACTACACTCATAAACCGTTGTCATATACCCATTGCAGTAAGGTTCGGTTACATTATAAAAAGTGACGGACACGTCAGACCCTCCTCATATAATGTAATGAGAGCGCATCAACTACTCCTCAACTATACTTAATATACATCCATACCGTAGACGTCCGCCAGTCGTTCTCGAGTGTACCTACCAGTCATCTAAATGTCTTCTTCGTTTTTTTCCCATTTCTTTCGACCATCTCTAATCTCACCCACCTTATCCGTTACGGACGTTAACGATTAACGCGTGAGTCTTGTACTTCATCTTGTCTAGCGAGTGTCGAGCAATGATGTCAATCCCGAAAGGGATGAAACGACAGAAACGTGAAATCGTAGTCAACTCCAATTGAAAAATAGAAAAGTTATTAAACAAAAGTTACGAAAGAATTATAAATTGACTTTAAATAACGATTGTTATTTATAAAAACAAAATATTTTTTTAAACTACAGTTTCTTGAAGATATATGTTGATATTATAACACGTCCATTCTGCTGTGCCAAACTTTAAATCTTTTCCTCAAAATTGTGCTTTAATGAGCACTACAAAACGGTAATTTGGCACTTGGACAGTTTGCCGACAAAAGGTATCACTGCCAGGCCACTGTAAGCTCAGCGATAGCGTACGGATTTGAACTTGTGTCGAATTTTACTTGGTAAAATAATTATGGTACTACTCGCGTGGTAGCAAGTTTGTGTCGTCGGCTGCGGTGTACTTAATGTAAACAAGATTCTTTTTTTTTCTATTCTTTTCGTACCCATCAGCTAAGCGTACTGGTTTGATATTTTATTATACTTGCTGATACGAGTTACCATCAACTATTATAAGGTAATAATATAGTGTTTCACTGATAACATCATCAAAGACACCGCGTCATCAACGGCCATCGGGTTATCTGTTCTTTTTTTTTATTCTAATTTTTGTTTGTTTTGTATGCTCAATCTCTAACACGTATGCGTGTGTGCTTGGGATTAATATCATTCTCCTTGAAACTCTCTGGTTGTTTTACATGCATTATTGGAAATTTACACGTTTCGTGCACTTCACTGTTTCGGAAACGGTCGTGAGTCATTGTATCTTATTACTACGTGCGTAAAAAAAGCAATGCGGATAACGGAGTCTACGTTATAATAATTGTGTGTGTGTATGTTGTTTGAAATAAACATTGGTCTGAATAAAATGTATATAAAGGGTGGGGCGTGGTTACTTCCTTATTTTAAAAAATCGTAACACAAAAAGTATTGGAAATATCAATTTAATTTTTTTCCATTGTACAGGGGTACATTTAAAGTTTTATTTCATTGGGTTATAAAAACGACATCTCGAAGGTGGCCACCGTCCTCGTCAATGCACTGAGATGGCCGAAATCTCTTTAGCCGCCGAATGTTTGCGTGCGATCGCCTAGGGGATTTCAAAAGCGCCGCCCTTACCCTCCCGATGTTTTCTGGCGTCCTGGCGGTTCTGGAAGGTCCATCACATTTCTTTTTCATAACTAACAATATCCCTAAACGTGTCCTCCCATAAACAAATCGATTTCCGATCAGGCACACAACCTACAGGCGCGATGTTGAAATGCTTTCTGAAGTTGAGTTGTAATGACCGAACGGCCGAAGGAAAAGTAGGCCTCCACGGCGAACGCGCGCTCCTCCTTTGTCCACTGCATTGTTGACATTGAACTAATCATAAAAAAAACTTTAGATACCGAGCTTTCGAACGCGCCATATACCAACACTCTAGGAGTAATGGTCACTTTGTGGCGCGAGTTTCAAATAAGGAAGTAACCGCGCCCCACTATGTAGATTGTGCGGATCAACAGCAAAAAAACCGTATCTGAACAAAAACCGTAAAACGAAATTGCCAATGCTACTATGAAAACGTATGTTAAGTGACTGATAAGTTCTGTTGTAGGATCGTAAGTCATAATATTAAGAATAATGTTATGTAGGGTTTCCTTTGTTATTGGCATTCACCATAAAATCAAGATGTATACAGTGACACGTTTCTGTAACGGACTAACGAGAAATATGTGTAAATTGTAAAATTGGAAGTGTATCTATTTCAACACATTTAAATATTAATCTGTGGTGGATAAGAAAAAAAACAGGATTTAAGCGGATGTATACACAAGATATACACAACGAATGTCCGAAAATAACGTATTATTGCTATCGATAGTCTTCAAAATTCATTCCCATTGAAATACTAGGCGGTTTTTCTTACCTAGCGTACCTACACAAAACCACGATGTAAAGAAACATGAAGTGTGAATGTGTTTTGCATAGTAATTTACAAGAAAAAAACAACAACAGCAAATAAGACAATAATGTGTAATTTCCCGATAGAGTGTTAGTTTACATTCAAGTTGAAATGCGGGCGCTTCATTTGTATTCCGCGCCGAAAGCAATTTGCGTCCGGTCTTTTTAACGGTATTTGCCATCCGGGTCCGAAAAATATTACATTATTTTCCGTTTGTCTTCCATATTATAGTCTATACCTATAGCACAAACATATTATTAAAAAAGTAGTGCTCACGTTCAATAAAACCTGCCCATAGTTGGCCTACAGCCTTATAAAATATTAACTTTTAATGATAAAAAGAAACTGTCATATTATCGTAACTGTGGCTGTGTAAAATTATATGAATTAGTACTTGGATTATTTACAATTAGTGCAAATAATACATATTACAATAAACAAGATTGCTAGTTTCTCTATGCCAGGGGGAATACTTGTGTTGTTATAAGCCAACCCTCAATATTTAACACAAAGTTTTAACAGTGTGCTTATACTGCTTAACATTGTCTAGCATTGTCTACAGTGTAGACTCTACAATAAGATGAAGCTCTTCGTTATCAAAAACATTAGTATTTCTGGTACTCGCATTGTCATAGGTTGGCCCTTGGGAAATTTAGACATTAGTTTGACATATCGTAGCATACTGTTTTGGGTTGACTCGATTAATTAGCTCACATTGGAAGACGCTGTTGTTATAATATTATTGCGCCACGTCCGTTATCGCGTCTGGGATAAAAAAAACGCACGTGTTACCCTTTTGTAAAAGGACCAAAAATAAAATATAGTCAGTTTTTTTTCTGGTAGTATAATACAATTAGGGGACTGTGTTTCAGTTGATAGTATAATTGGATTAGGGCCAAACGATTTTTCATCTTCACATGTTTTGCCCCTTCATGTTTTTTCAGTCAACGTTTTTTTTTTTAATGAACCTTTTTCGGTCACTCCGGTAATATAGTTTTAATTATGGTATCGTAACAGAAGTAAGAAAAAAATATATTTATAAAATCTTTCTGAATCCCGATGACTAATTATAATTAACCAACATACAGCACACAAAATATTTTGAAAAAAAAAGTTTAGGTACAGAATAGAATAATAAATATTACATTAAGCCTTAATCTATAAAAGAAAAGGTGGTGCCGGTATTTGTTGTATTTAGTTATATTAGAATGTAACCAGAAACGTTTTGCACTTTTATTTAAAATAATTTGCCAAAAACAACAAAAACACTTACATATTATTATTTTAAACAATCCTAAGAAGTATATTTAAACAGCAATTTAATAGGAATTACATTTTTTTTGCGTTACATTTTTTATTATAAGATTAGAGTAGTTTCCAATTATTCCCATGGCCGTATTACATCTAAAACTAACACAAAACAGCCAAGTTTTTCTCCGGTACTCTTTGTGAACAAGAATGTCATTTTATACTCTCCATAAAAAAATTTTTTTGGGAAATTATTTTGCCTCAATTTTTCCATATCAATTCCAGATGTCACGTATACACCCTATAAAAAATAATTTTAATTAATTTTTTTTCAATGTAATATTCAAACATTCCTTCTATCAAAATATACAGACCTAGATTTTAGTCATAAATGTGTAAGCTTATTTAATATACGACTTATATGTATGTTTTTATATATTTATACTAAAGTAAAACCAATCATCACAGTTCAGGCATTTTTTTAGAATATTTTACTTGTTAAGCATAATTGAGAACAAAACTTAATAATGCGAAATATCACTACAGTATTATTTTTGGCGTCGACTTAATGTACCCTTCTATTTACAGCTATGTTAAAATAACTTCAGGAATTCAATGTATAGGCATTTCAAGACGGTGCACTCAAAATTACTTTCAAAAGTTTAGTAATATTTTAGTGAATTTTACGGTAGTAAAAACCAAAATGATAACAAAATATTGCTTGATTATTTGTAATGTGTTATAGATACTTGTTTATCTTTTATTTAATTTTCAGCTCTTTATTAATAAAATAGAGCATGAAAAATTTGTACAAACGAAACAATTCTCGGATAATAACAAATTTAATGAATATTCAAAAAAAATGTTAACACTTAGTCACATAAAACCGGAACATTTTATGTAATTTTTTCCGAACTAGTGTGGAGTATGAACGCACTTGTTTTGACTTTAATATGATGTACGAATTCTAATCCATATATACCCAGTTTGAACCAAGAGATATAATTGTTAAATAATGGGACAATATAAATCCGAATTTTTTAAATAATACCATTAACAATTAAATTTAAAGATTTCAATCAGAACATGTAAACTTATTTCACAATACAAAAACTACCATTGTTTGTTTTTCTTTTAAAAAAAATGCATTTACATTAATTCTACATAATGTATGAGTACATCCAACATTTTAGATATATAAATAAACACATCTTACAATTGATATTGCATTATACACTATATACAAATATAATACAGTATATACTACTTGAAATATAATGTTGATCAAATATTAATTAGTTTTAGATTAGGTATTTAACGATTTACATAATTATAACAACTTTTACCGGCGGTGTTGGACAATTAAATCTTGGCAAATGAAATCCCCTTACAATATCGTTCCATAATTCTCCAAATAGCCATATTGTTTTTGAACAAGCGTTAGTCGTCGTGTAGACATGCGCATTGTCTTTCCAACCACCAATTGAACTTTTCACGGCCATATTTATGCTAATCTGTAAAATCATTTAAATTAAAAATAATTATCTTTAGCTTTTATTTTAATTTAATCATTATTGTAAATGCATTTTAAATAAAAGTTTGTACAAAAATTATATGTGTGGGTTATTGAATCCTATTTTATATTTGAGCCATGCAAATTGCTTCCAAATAAAAAAAAAAATACACTAATGTTTTGAGAAATGTATTTATTTAAATTCTTCTATTTGAGCAATAAATTTGGCATAAATGCAGTTATGATTCCAATTTTTATTATGTCTATACATTTAGTTTTTGATGTAAGAAACGCACACAGACTTCAGTCAATCAAACTTACTTTTGAAGTTATTTACAAATTATTTTTTAATATCATTATGAAAGTTAACTTTTTATTTTTAAAATAATTATTTTAAAGAAAATACATAATACATAGTTTTACATTTATGAGTTTTATATCAAATAAGAATAATTTTGCATCATCAGCAAACAGCAAAATATTAATGTTGGTATCAAGGACCAATGGGAGATCATTTATAAAGATTAAGAATAGGAATGGTCCTAGGTGAGAGCCCTGAGCAACACCCGAGGTCACAGAATAATCATCTGAATAGTAAAACGAGATTTTTACTGATTGTATACGATTAGTGAGATAAGAGTAGAGCCAATTAAAGAAGTTACCTCCAATCCAAAAGCATTTAATTTATGATATAATAATGTGTGGTTCACTTTGTCAAACGCTTTTTGAACGTCCGTGATACCCTTTATCTAAGGATTTAGTTAGGAAATTTTGGAATATTAACAAATTTGTTTGTATAGAAGTGTTTAGAAAGAAAGCCTTACTGATGGATAGATATGTTTTTAGATGAAATTTGATAACTTTTTAGTGATTATCGCTTCAAACGCTTTTGGAATAATTGATAATTTTGATATAGGTATTATATCATACTTATAAAACTAAAATATTACTTATTGTGTATACATTTCCTTAACTTTTTTATCATGTTGATAATAAAATAATAATTAGCTAATGTCTTAGAACTTTGATATATTATACTTACACTAACTGAATCGTCGAATGGAACGTGCAAAGTCATATTACCCTTTAATTCAAATTCAGTAGCAGTTTTTTTACTAAAATATACGTTATATTGTAGCTTATGATTTTCAGTAGATTCGCACGGAAAGAGAGCTTTAAATTTTAATTTATACTCTCCCTAAAATTACAGACACAAAATTATTTACAAACTTACAACTACATTTAAATTGATATAACAATTAATGTGCGTTACCAATGGCAAATTCGGAAAGTACGTTGGTGGTTTATCTCCTTTTATCGTTATAAAAATAAAACATAAAAACAATAAAACATATTGCAGAGACATGTTATTAATGATGTAAAACAAAGCTTGATTGTCGAACTCAAGTATAGTTGAAACTTTCAGAAGCGACTTACGTGTATAGCTCGTTGTATACACACACATTCTGTTTAAATAGCTTACAAATAATACTAGACTTAGTTTAATTATGTACACGTTACATTCAAATATAAATTATATTCACTAACAATACCAATAATATTTAATGTATTTTTAATATTCTTGTATAAAAGATCTATAAAATTGTATTTAGATTACATTTCAATAGCTATTCAAATTTTAAACAAACCCGGATTCTACAAATATAAAAAAATATAAATAAAACCGTGACAAAACAAAACTGATGACATAACATTTTATAAAAAAAAAAAAGATTAACAATACACGTTTTTTTGAATTTACAATAGTTTCAATGCTATATTTCGGTACATGCATTTTTATATTATCAGTTGTGTTATTAGTGTTCATGGTTAAATCACATTGTAAAACCAGCATTCGCTTTTAAGCAAAAATTTTAACCAAAACATAATATATCCCTAATCATAAGAACAATTATTTTTCTTCAGAAATTAAAGAAAAAATTTGATTGAATATTAAATTGAAGTGTAGAAGGACAATAATATGTCATAATACAGCTATAAGTAACAAAAATGTTGGTACTTGCTGCAAATAGGTAGTAAGTAGTAGCCACTAAGTGGGAAGAGAAAATGGGAATACGAAGATGAACGGATGATGTGTGGTTTAACTTGGTTAGGAATTAAAATAGAATTAGAAAGACTGTGTAAGAAGAAGCATCGTTGAAATCTTCAGAATTGTAGACAAATGAAAATACCAGGCTGAGGCAATTTGGGCATTTTAAAAGGCCGGAAGACGTCAAAAATGGAAAGAAGATAAACAGAATTTTATATTTGGAAGGGTTTTCGTAGATCGTAGTACCTTTATACACTGATAATTGAGTTACCGTTTATTACCGGTAAAAAATACATGTAATTAGTTTTGGTATCTTTTTAAAATCTTCCAGTGTTCAGTGTAATATAATATACTGTGACTTATATGTTGGTACACATTTTTTTTTCAGTATACCGATTTATTGCTTATTTCCACACATTCACTTTGGTGGTGAACTTTCCGTTATCTTCTTATCATTAACGCCTGTTTCCATGTCGGAAATATAATATAATATTTTTAATTGAGTAATAAATAGTCGCGGGCCTGTTATAACAGAAGAAAAAGTCATTTAAAGTCACACCTATCTCGGTGGACCACCGACCGTTCTGAATTCGACTATGCGATAATATTTTATAGGTGTGATCAAGTTGATCCGTCGGTATTCAAAACGGACGGCAGTCATACATTATTTAGCTTGGAAGTCGTAAAACAAAAAATCCAGAATAATTTTTGGTTTTTACGACTCTGGGCGTAAGTTATTACACTTAAAAAAAACGAGTAAAATTTTTTTTCTCACTACACTGCGTTTATCCCGACCCCGCCGAATAATCGGCGACAATCTTAACTATTGCTTGACACATCGGCGCGTTATCAAATGTCCCTAAGACTTGAAATGACGACGGCGTTAAAGTCACTTGACACAAAATACCGTTTACTTTTTTATTTCTCTCATACCGCTTATAATAGTATACGTGCCCTCGACTTACTCATAATATTATGCAGTGCGGGTCCATCGACAGGTGTTGCTTCGGCCGTTTTTTATTGCTTTCCGCCACGGATGTGTACACTGACCGTTGTGAACATTGTGTTTATGATATGCGTACAATATATATTATGCCTACACACACTGCCCATAGCCCATAGGGATAGTTTGTGAAAATCGTACGCACCAAAAACATATTATAATTCTCTACGGCCATAAACGCCTAATAGCACAATATATACATTATATTAATATTGCAGCTAGTATACTACAGTTGTAATATCGTGCACTCGTATATAATATATTTATGTTTCGGTAAAAACATACTGGACACGGTCCGATCGATATCCCATAGGGTTCATATGGCGTGCTCAATATGCGATTTTTCACTGTCCTAGTCCGAGACCGATGACGACCAACTCCACCTCCTCGGCGCTGTAAAAAGCCATATGATGTACTTTTGACGACGGTACAATATATTATTATTATTATAATACTCGTAAATGTCTTGAAAAGAAAAAAAATTCATTGTTTTACTAGCCTACATATTGTGTAGTCCGGTGATTTATGTTGACGATTTGGCCGTTCTGTACGCGACTCGTATTAAATATAAAAAAAATACACCGCATACAAAAGCAATTACTTTCAATGGGATTTTTTAACTTTTAACGGCAACACTATTATACTCACCTACGTGAGTGATATACTCGTTCAAAATAGTCGTTAAGTACACATATATATATAACGTTGTACGTACGTTATTTGCAAATAAAAAGCAAGCAATATACTTATTTAACGGCCCTAAATACCACGTAGGTATGCAATTAAAACATAATGTAGTCGGTCGTTGGCTAAGACGGTGTTAATATTATATTTTAATAATTTTATTGAGCGTAAAAGGTTTGAGGGACTAAGTGGTATTCCTTTAACAGTAATAGACCGTTTGCTACGGATCACAGTATTTTATATCGCATAGCATCGACATAGCTCGTTTGCGCCAAATATCAATTCGCCCACTTACAACATAAAAAGTTACTTTTACTACAGTAATTTGTCGAAAAAAATCACACTTTTCCCCAGTCTGTGCCAAAATCATATACATTAACCGTATCATAGATATTAATTATAATAGATTATAATAAAAATTTTTAATATTATTTGATCGTAATTTGTATTATAAATAAGCAAATTGTTTTCTTAATGTAAAAATATATTCGTTTTATTGGCTTGTGATTACTACCCGATAAAACATTACTTGTTATTTATTCTTTACATATGATATGTGTTTTATGTAGCATTTATTAAATATGTTATTTAAATTCAAATATATTCAGAAGTATTGCCAAATTGTTAACATTATAAATTATAATACATACAGTACAACTATTTGATTAATATCGATTGGTTTGCTTATAGTTGTAGCATTGATTTTATATTATAAATAGTTTATTTTAAAATCAATGTTTGTAGTTAATACAAATTCGATGTTATTATAAAATTGGTAAGTCTCATTTTGTTTAAAAAGTTTGTATTTCCTGTAGTATTCTGAATTCTGATACACGTTTATGAATATTTGATTTATCGTTGTTTGTTTCTGTAGTGATTACAGATTATATTTTAAGACACACCTATATTATTGATAATATCATATAATATAAGAAAATCATGCTGTTATATTTGTTCGACAAATGTTGAACATGATTTTGTAATCAAAACCGAGTTATAAATGTTTATGTTATTGAATTATTTTCACTTAATCATAATTTGATCTTATATTTTCTGCAAAATTTCTAGTTATTAAAAATTGTGTGGTAGGTAGTCTCTAACGTTGTGAAAAATACAGGTTTTTGGTGTATTAAAAATATGTTATAGATTTCTTTTAATACGTGTGTTTATAGTTTTAAATGGAAAATTTAAATTTAACTTTTTTATGTTTTTCACGGATTTAAATGAACAACTAAACGTTATAGAAAATAACTATAGCTCCGGTTTAGGAAGATGTATCTAATTAATTAATGTATTTCAGTCTTTATAAAAAATGTCTTCTTTAAAAGTTAATAATTATAAATTCAAAAATACCACATCTGACCATTGTGTTTTGTTACATAAATACATGCATACTAGTGCATAACTAATAATTAGAACAAAAGTTAATTATGAAATATTATTTTTAACGTTTAAACGGAAGATCAACTGATTCGACACCGTGTTAGGTTTGAAAATAAAATGAGTGTACAAAAGTGATTCGTCGTTAATAATATGCATACGTTATATTTTCATACTTCTTGCTTGTTGTTACTATAAACACCTTAATATGTCTACGCGCCTAAATGATTGTTTTGCGGAATATGAAAAAAAAAAGCTAAGATAATTTTTACGGAAATCACAGCACCCGCACCAGACAGACTTTTCTACCGCTTCTTATCTCGTTTGTATAAAATAGTATTGCGTGAACGATAACGCAAAAAATCTGTCTATTCAGCTGAGATTTGTCAAGGTGGGTGTTTGTTTGTAGGAGGCAATTTGTCAAGTCTGCCCGAAGAGTCACTGGCGGCGGCGGCGGTTGCGCACATGGAACACAACAGAATAATATACACAATATTGTATACCTGCAGCATAACCTTTTGAGCCTATTGTTCGCCGGACAGGGAATGGTGACTGTGAATGGTGACGGAGAAGACGTGTAACTCGGATGGAATAAGATATATATATTAATATATTGTATATGTCTAAATCGTATTTCCTCGGACCACACCCAGTGCTTAGCCACCGTCACATAGAAAATAACTAAATAGAGAGGTGTGAAATGTGTTTTCTACAAACAAGTCGGCCCGAGGTGGCTACCGGGAATCGCCGGCGGTAGTTGTAAATCCGTTGACCGTCGCATGGGGTGTTGGTTTGTAAGTACCGAGAAACACACTATTCGGGGAGGTACCCATAATGATAATATGCGTTACTCGTAACGACAACGATCCGGTATAAATATACCGCGTTTTGCTCTTGTTTTCTTCCAAAACATACCCATCCCTTCATGAGACCCTTGAACTATGCCGGACATTATCTGTTTCCTTAGAGCTTGGAATAATATGCGTTGAACACGGGTCAGGTGGGGTATTCATAAACGAACGAGACAAATGTAATTGTAGCCTTTTTTTTATATACTAAAAAAACGCAAAATGTCGTGTTTTATGTAGGCATCGTGTAATACGTTGGCAATTTATTGCAATTTTTATTTTAAATAAAACAAATTTAATTATTTTATGACAATCCATATTTGATGCGAAATAATTTATTAGGTCCAGCTTAATAATGGTCACACTTGTACGCTATTCAGCGTTAAATTAGCTGTATAATATACATATGTAATTTTTAAACAAATTCCTAAAAAAATGACACCTTTTGTAATTTGCAATGTCCATTTATTTCTTAGGAAGT